TTCCAATAGCGCAATCAAACATGAATTAAATCATTAAGTTTTATGGTTTGTTTTGTGAATTCATAACCTAAGGTCATTAACTTTTTGTGAATTCATAACCCTAAGGTCAATTAAACTTATGAAAAACCCCTATGAGTCAAACCATATAAGCCTTCCGCATCAAGTTATTATTCTCAATGTAATTCATTACCCTAGTTCATATAAATAACCCCTTCTCAGGCCGATAATGATTAAATGAATAAATCAATCCAGGGGAGGAAACTCCTGCCTGGATGCATTAAAGTGCAATAATAAATTATACTTTGAACAAGAAAAACAAATCTAATATTATAAATTGGAAAAGAATTTAAGCTGACAATCAAAATTCCTAAGTATGAAGGATTCTAGTTCGGACAACGTAATTAAATAAAAGGGTCAATACTAACTTGAATAAAATTTCAATAATTAATATGAATTAATGAAAAGTTAAAACAAGATTAAAAGTTTTAGAAAATAAAAAACTATGGCGACAAGATACGTGGTGGCTTGGTCCTTGAATCTTATGGCCACCGAAATCTTGAAATGCTTTGAAGTCCTTTTTGAGAGAGAGAGAGAACCTTATATAGAAAATATAGAACAAGATTATCTCTTACATCATGAATTGGTTCCCTCTCCCTTGTATATAGACCTCAAGGAGAAGGAAATAATGACTCCCGTTTAGGAAATAGAATCTTTATTAATACGAAAATTCTTCCTTTTGGAGATCACAAAACCTGTTTTAGGCCTTGGGATTTCTTTTCTCAATTAGGGACTCTTTCCATCTTCAGTGAATAGCTTACAAACTGTTTAGGCTTGGATTTCTTCTCAATTAGGACTCTTCCATCTTCCTGAATAGGCTTGGATCTTGATTTGCACGTCAGGAAAATATTTGAGGTGTGCCCATGTAAGGTACAGAGACTAGCTTGCGTTTTTAATTTAAGACAGCATTAAATTCATAGCACGGGCGTGCTCCATAGCACGGCTTGGGCGTGCCAGAATGCCAGAATCTCAGTTCTATGAATGATCCAGCATAGGCTGTGCTCTTCAACACGTTCAGAGAAGTATTTGTGGCACGAGCGTGCTTCATAGCAGGGCCGGGGCATGCTAGGCTCTGACTTTCCAAGATAAAATGCCGCACGGGAGTGCTTAAGCAAGCACACCCTGATGTCCTTTTAGGCACGGGCATGCCAGATAACACGGGCTAGCTGTGCTAGACTTTGAGTCTCCACTTGATTTTCCTTAGTTTCGCACGGGCGTGCTAATGTGCACGGGTTGGGCGTGTCAGAGCCTGAGTGTTTTGCTTTATAATGCTCTTTTATGTGCCAAAACCCTGCAAATTTCTTTAAGATCAAGCGGATTATGATTCAAGGAAGCTTTGAACAAATAATATAGAAAAACGAAGTAAAAATTAGTTTAAGTGATTAAAATTACTAAAATTCAAATTAAAAACTATATTAAAAATATTGTAAAAATGACACCTATCAAAAGAACAGCACTTATGTTTTCGAAGAACCCAACGGATTAATTTAGGCTTTGCATCTTTCTTTTCCAATAAATATTTAATAGCAGAGTGATTAGTGTAGACTATTGTTTTAGCTCTAATTAAATAAGCCCTAAATTTATCAAAAGCAAAAACAATAGCTAGAAGAACAATAGGCTAGAAGTTTTCTTTTTCAAGTGGTGGCAATATTTAAATTATGCATCATTCACAATGTGCGACTAGCTAATAAATTGAACGTGCAACTTCTTTTTCCCTTTCCTTTGGCCCTAAGAACAGCACCAACAGCATGATCCACTTAGCATCACACCTAAAGCTCAAGGGAAAAGGTCAAATCTATGTAGCGTAAATGACATAGGGGCTCGAGAATCAACTCTTTACTTTAACCTTGTTAAAAAGCCACTCAAACAACTCTTTGGTCAAAACACTCTTTGTCAAAATTAAAAGGGACATCTTTAACTAATAAATTACAAAGAGGTTTTGTGATTTTGGAGAAGTCCTTGATAAATCTCCTATAAAATCCTGTATGGTCAAGAAAGCTCCTTATTCCTCTTACTGAATTTGGAGGAGGTAGCTTATCAATTACCTCAATTTTGGCTTTGTCCACTTCAATTCCTTCTTGTGAGATTTTATGCCCTAAAACAATGCCTTTACTCACCATAAAATGACATTTTTCCTAATTCAAAACAATGTTAGTGTCCTCGCATTGTTGCATTACTAAAGATAAGTTATAAAGACATGCATCAAAAGAGGAACCAAACATAGAAAAATCATCCATGAATATTTCAATAAATTTTTCAACCATGTCAGAAAATATGGACATCATGCATCTTTGAAAAGTTGTAGGAGCATTGCATAATCCAAAAGGCATTTCAATAAATTTTTCAACCATGTCAGAAAATATGGACATCATGCATCTTTGAAAAGTTGTAGGAGCATTGCATAATCCAAAAGGCATTCTTCTATAAGCAAAGGTTCCATAAGGACAAGTGAAAGTGGTTTTCTCTTGATCTTCAAGAGCAATAGGTACTTAGAAGAATCCTAAATAACCATCCAAAAAACAATAATAGGGATAACCTACAAGTCTTTCAAGCATTTGATCAATAAAGGGTAGAGGGAAGTGGTCTTTTCGTGTTGCTTTATTCAACTTCCTATAATCAATGCACACACGCCAACCTGTAACTGTTCGAGTGGGAATTAACTCATTGTTTTTGTTAGAGATGACTGTCATACCTCCCTTCTTTGGAACAACTTGAACAGGACTTACCCAACTGCTATCGGAAATTGGATAGATAATGCCGGCATCCAAAAGTTTTATGATCTCAACTTTAACTACCTCTTTCATATTTGGTTTATGATCTCAACTTTAACTACCTCTTTCATATTTGGATTTAGTCTTCTTTGATGCTCAATTGATGGTTTATAGTCTTCCTCCATCAAGATCTTGTGCATGCATACACTTGGGCTTATCCCCTGCAAATCTGAAATTGACCACCCTAGAGCTTTCTTATGTTTTCGAAGAATTTGCAACAACCTTTCCTCTTGATCAAGTGTTAAGTGAGAGGAAATAATAACAAGAACAGAATTATTCTCACCCAAGAATGCATGTTTTAAATGAGATGGGAGTTATTTCAATTCTTGCTTTGGTGGTTCACTTTCTTTCTTATCCATGATGCTTGAATCATTAATGTCATCTTTACTCTCAATATGCAAAGTGTTTTCCATGCATTCATCAATAACATCAATTCTAAAGCAATCATTATAATCCATAGGTAGCTTACAAGATTTAAGAACATAAAAAACAATGTCCTCTTAACCAACCCTTAAAGTTAATTTGCCCTCACATACATCAATCAATGCTCTTGCGGTTATAAGAAAGGGTCTTCCAAGGATTAAGGATCCTTCTCTATCTTCATCAATGTCAAGAATGACAAAATCAATAGGGAAGATGAATGTACCTACCTTTACGAGCACATCTTCTACAATTCCTCTTGGATATTTTAATTTTGATTTGATCGATTTCTAGCCAATCGGTATAGAGACATTCCTTGTTGGCCCTTATACGCTCTTCCATTCTTAGGATCTTAAAATTTCATAAGGAGAATTAAGGTAATGCATAGCACGCTAAATCCTCGATGCTCTAAGCTTTATTTCCAAAATTCAAGCAATTTACCCAACCTCCTTTGTGCAAGTTGGTCTAGCAAAAGTCTTCCTAGTCTTAAATCAAGATTACCAATATTGCAAGGGATAGAAAAACTTCCTAGATCTTTTAACTTTGGAGGTAGTTTATTTTGAATAATTGCACTACACTCCTTAATTAACATTACTGTTCCTTGATCATCAATTTTTCATTTCTTGCTCAGGATTTCTTTTAGAAATTTTGCATCACTGGGCATTTGAGTGAGAGCTTCAGCAAAAGGAATGTTAATTTGAAGCTTTTTAAAGACATTAAGAAATTTAAGGAAACTTTTGTCATCTTGCACTTTTTTAAACCTTTGTGGGAAGGGAATAGGTGGAACATAAGGTTTCACTTCTTCTTGCTCTTCTAGGTCAATGATGGGAACTTTTTTTTGCTCTTCCTTTTTCATTTCTATCTTTGCTGGTTCTTCTAACTGTTTGCTACTTCTCAAGGTGATAGCCTATACCTGTTCTTTAGGATTCTTTTCAATATTACTAGGTAACGTACCTTGAGGTCGAGATGCCATCATGCTTGCAAACTGTCCTAGATGGATCTCCAAGTTTCTAATCGCCGCTTGTTGGATTTTATTGTTTTCTCTAGTTTCGTTCATGAAGTCCATGTGTGATTTAGAAAGGGCAGTAAGGAGATCATCATGAGATTTCTTCTCATGGGGCCGCATGATAGGCAGTCCATCATTGAGATTTTTCTTTGAGGAATAAAACCTGTCCTGGTAGCTTCAAGCATTATTTAGGATTTCCATATGACAGGTACTTAGCGCGAGGGCGTTGATTCCTCAAACCTATCTATCATAGGAGTGCTATAATCATGGTGTGAACTTCTTCCTTCTTGATCTATTCCACATGAGGTTTACTTTCTCTCTCCAAGGTTTCGGATTAAAGCAAGCGTTCTTATCAATGCATAGTTCTCCTAAATCCCACTGTTGACCCCTAATTATACACTTGTCACGCACAACAGCTTACATAATGAATTGACAGGATTAGTAGTCAATAAGTCCAATTTTCCTTACCATATTAATCTACCTCTGGATTGAGTGACTGTTAATGGCATCTATTTCATTGATATCCTGCAAGTCTTCTTCACTTTCCGGAGTTGCTTTGATAATGGCTATTGCCTTGCCATTTCTCTATCAAGATTCATATGCCTCATCAATCTCTTTTCTCTCACAAGTCATATGCCTCATCAATCTCTTTTCTCTCAAAAGATCCACCTGCAGTTGCATCTAGAGTGATTTTAATGTTAGGAGATAATGCATTATAGAAAGTTTGTGCCTGTAACCATTTAGGCAAACTGTGATGTGGACACTTTCTCAGTAAGTCCTTTGAATCTTTCCCAAGCTTCATACAAACTTTCTTGATCATGGTGGACAAAGGTCATTATCTCATTGCGAAGTTTTGTGGCCTTTGAGGATGGAAAGAATTTTGCTAAAAACTTTTGGGCTAATTCCTCCCATGTTGTCAAACTTCCAGTAGGGCATGATTGTAACCAAGATTGTGCTTTGTCCCTAAGAGTGAAAGGGAAGAGTCTTAGTTTTATGGCATCTTCGGAAACACCATTCCACCATTCTGTTTTGGAAGGATCGCAAATTTCCAGGATTTACTGCAACGTGTGATAGTGGGGAAGAGTCTTAGTTTTATGGCATCTTCGGAAACACCATTCTGTTTGAAGGTATCGCAAATTTCCAGGAAATTTGTGATATGAGCGTTAGGATCTTCATTAGGTAAACCTCCATATTGAATTGAGGTGGAAAGCATTTGGATAATTGCAGGTTTAATTTCAAAATTATCGGCTTCCACCTGGGTCTTGTGATAATTGAGATTGTCCCATTAAGAGCAGGTATGGTGTAGTCCCGCAAGGTGCGGACCGGATGTCGAGGTAGGGATCTATTTTCTGGGTTGACTTCGTCGTCCATGTCTATGCTGTTCGGATTTGCTTTCACGTGTTCTTCTAGCAGTGTTGTTCTTAAGACAAGTCTTTTCAATTTCTAGATTGAAGATTAGAGGTTCAGTCCTACCTGATCTTATTTGCATAAACACCTGAAAATAATTCTTAAAAAGAAAATTAAAAAAAGAAAAGTAAATGTCTAAATTAATAATAGGGTAATTAGTATTGATATTGATAATGCCAATCCCCGGCAACGGCGCCAAAAACTTCCAAAAACTTGACAGTGATTTTTTGCAAGTATACGAATTCGTAGTAAGTAATATAAAGTAAGTAGAGTATCGTCTCCTCAGGGATTGTATATCAAGTACCAAAACTGTTTTAACCTATTATTATTTAAACAACAATAAGAGAGATTTATTGTAAGAAAAGTAAATTCTAAAAATAAACAGAAATAAATCAAGTAACAATATTCATATGAAAAGAAATCAGGATTTTAAAACTACTAGGAATTTTGATTTCACTTAACTCTACCCAATTTATTTTATTAGTTTGTTAATCAATTTAATTGTTCAAGTAAGGGAAACAACCCTAAAATCACTAACAAGCTCTCCCGATGTCAACCTCGTAAAAATCTACTAACAAGCTCCTCACCGAATTGTATTGTTTGTCTTATTTCTTATCCCCGATTTCTAATTATCCTATTTTCAAAGAGCGCAATCAAAACATGAATTAAATCATTAAGTCTTTGCTTGGTTAGTGTTGTGCATATTCATAACCTGGGTATTTAAACTTTTATGAAAAACCCCCCATGAGTCAAAGAAACCTTATAGCTGCCGCAAATCATAATTATTTATTCTGTCATGTAATTCATTACCTATTCATATCAAAAACCCCTTCTCCCGATAGAGATTAATGAAATAAATCAATCCAGAGGAGAAAAACTCTGGCATCCGAGACCTGCCAATTAGACTGTAATAAGTAAACTTTATATATTTTGAACCAAAGAAAAACAAATCTAATATATAATAAATTGAAAAAGAATTTTAAGCCCTACATCAAATCCCCTCTTAGTATGAGGATTTAGTTTTGACCAAACGTAATAAATAAAACTAATAATACCGTTGAATTAAAATTCATTAATTATCTGGAATAATGAAAAGTAAAACAAGATTAAAGACGTTTTAATGAAAATATAAATAAACCTATATGCTACAGTAACAACTGGACGGGTACCTTGCAAATCTTGGCCATGAATCATTGAATGGCTTGAAGTCCTTAGGAGAGAGATGAGAATGCCAACTATGATCAGAAAATAACAGAAACAAGAACTCTAATCATTCTCTAAAATGAGCATGTGGTCTCCCTCTCTTTTATATTTACGACTTCAAAAAAAGAAGAAGAAAATTGACTCCGTTTTTTAGGAAATAGAATCCACTTTCATCTAAGTAACGAAATCTTCTTGTGGAGGCGCAATATACCAACTGTTTAGGGCTTGGATTTCTTCTCAAATTAGGAACCTCTTAGCCCATCTTCACTTTTAATTAGGGGCTTAGGATCTTGATTTCGCAAAGTCCAGGAAAATATTTGGAGGGTCGGGCCCACTTGTAAGGGATATATAGAGACTGTTGACTTGCTTGTTTTATTAAGTACGAAATCTTCTTTGGAGATTACAAACTGTTTAGGCTTGGATTTCTTCTCAATTAGGACTCTTCCATCTTCCTAAATAGGCTTAGATCTTGATTTGCAAGTCAGGAAAATATTTGAGGTGGGCCCATGTAAGGTATAGAGACTGGCTTGCGTTTTTAATTCAAGACAGCATTAAATTCGTAGCACGGGCGTGCTCCATAGCACGGCCTGGGCATGCTAGAATCTGAGTTTTATGAATGATCCAGTACAGGCCGTGCTCTTCAACACGTTCAGAGAAGTATTTGTGGCACGGGCGTGCTTCATAGCACGGCCGGGTCGTGCTAGGCTCTGACTTTCCAAGATAAAATGCCTCACGGGCGTGCTTAAACAAGCACGCCCTGATGTCCTTTTAGGCACGGGCGTGCCAGATAGCATGGGCTAGCCGCGCTAGAGTCTAAGTCTCCACTTGATTTTCCTTAGTTTAGCATGGGCATGCTCATTTGCGCGAGCTAGGCGTGCCAGAGCCTGAGTCTTTTGTTTTATAATGCTCTTTTCTGTGCCAAAACCCTATAAATTTCTTTAAGATCAAGTGGATTATGATTCAAGGAAGTTTTGAATAAATAATATAGATAAAACGAAGTAAAAATTAGTTTAAGTGATTAAAATTACTAAAATTCAAATTAAAAACTATATTAAAAATACTGTAAAAATGACACCTATCACATTCGGTCTCACAAATGCACCGGCAGTTTTCATGGATCTCATGAACCGCATGTTTCATCCATATCTAAATTAGTTCGTGGTGGTATTTATAGATGCCATTTTGGTCTACTCTAGAGACAGGGTTGAACATGATAAACATTTGCGGATTGTACTTCAGACACTGAGGGATAAACAGTTGTATGCCAAGCTCTGTAAGTGTGAGTTTTGGCTGGAAGAAGTTTCTATCTTAGGACATGTGGCATCATCGGAGGGGGTCAAAGTGGATCCTAAGAAGATTGCAGCTATTGTTGATTGGAGATCACCCAGGAATGTCACAGAAGTCTGAAGTTTTCTGGGTTTAGCCGGCTATTACAGAAGGTTTGTAGAGAGATTCTCCATCATTGCATCACCATTAACAAGAAGTTTTCTGGGTTTAGCCGGCTATTACAGAAGGTTTGTAGAGAGATTCTCCATCATTGCATCACCATTAACAAGATTGTTGAAAAAAGAGGTTGTATTCCAATGGGATGATAGGTGTTAAAAAAGTTTTGAAACTTTGAAGAAAAAGTTGACTGAAGCACCAGTGTTGACCTAGCCAGTGTCAGGTAAAGAATTTGAGATTTACAGTGATGCCTCTCATACTGGGTTGGGATGTGTACTCATGCAAGATAGAAAAGTGGTGGCTTATGTATCCAGACAGTTGAAGCCACATGAATTGACTTATCCAACCCATTATTTAGAAGTGGCAGCCATTGTTCTAGCATTCAACCTTGTTTTTCTAGCATTCCAAGTATGGACGGCTATTAATCTGCTCACGGTGAAAAGTGTTACATTTACACCAAATCATTTTAGAGTTTTAAGTATGTCTATCGACACAAAAAGACTTGAATTCAAGACAACGGAAAGTGGATGCAGATTCTGGCTATTATGTAGTTATATCATTAATTAACCATCCAGGCAAAAGCTAATGTTGGGTAGCTTGCATGCCCTTGAGCTGTGAAATCATTGTATGCTTGAGATCAATTGAGAATCCTACGCATGGAGTCTGAAACAGCAAGGAAGTTATTGAGGCTAGATGAAGTACAGACCATTTGGTTCAAGAAGTTGCAGAAGCACAGAAGAAAGATCTCAATCCCAAAATAGCCAATATGGAGTTAAACCAAAGTCACATTAAACAAGTACAGGAAGACCATGGTGGGAAATTCAGATTGGATAGCAGTGGAGTATTGTTCTATGAAGACAGAGTTGCTGTACCACAGACAGGGCAAATCAGACAGAAGATTCTGCATGAAGCTCACAACAGTCCATATACAATGCATCCAGACAGTACTAAGATGTATCAGGATTTGAAGAAAGGCTATTGGTGGCCGAGCATGAAGAAAGACATCGAAAATTTTGTAACAAGATGTCTGACATGTCAACAAATAAAAGCAGAACATCAATTGCCATCTGGGTTGCTTCATCCAATAACGCGAAAGAGCTTTCTCGTATGTTCCTACTCTTACCCCGATTGGCGACATTAGGGCGATTCGGAGCTGAGAGCTCCAGATAACATTGGTCATAGGACCGAGTACATAATAAGCGTTGAGGCGGTGAGGCTACGATCTACAGACAGCGTTGACACGCTCAGGCAGTGAACGGAGTGTTCATGCCCCATGCGCGGGGCATTCCTGTGCGAGATCTGAGGGAACCATAAGAGAGTAATCACAGTTCGTGTACGCCTTCCTGATGAAATGATGGGTCTGGAGGTTCTTGGAGAAATAAAGAACATCGAACTTTTGTAAAAACAAGAAAAATGTCTTGACATGCTCATGTCAACAAATAAAAGCAGAACATCAATTGCCATCTGGGTTGCTTCATCCAATAATAATGCCAATATGGAAATGGGATCAGATCACGATGGATTTTGTTACTGGATTACCTCAGACGCAGCGGAAACATGATGCAATATGGGTAATTATAGACAGATTAACCAAGTGTGCACACTTTCTACAAGTCAGGATGGACTATTCTCTAGATAAGTTAGCAGAAATTTATGTTAGAGAAATAGTTCGACTACATGGAGTTCCATCATCCATTGTATCTGATCATGATCCAGGGTTTACATCGAAGTTCTGGGGTAAACTGCAGGAAGCATTAGGAACGAAGCATTAGGAACAAAACTGCATTTCATCCTCACACAG